ATCCAGGTGTTTAAAATGTGACTCTTTTCAAATATATGTTCATTCAAATGTCATTTAATTGAATAAATACAGGATAAAACATTTCTTATTGTGAATTACTCCTGCTGAAATCTGCATTTGAGCAAAAGATCTAAAATTATGTMGAGACTGTTTCTTTCAGAGACTGCTGATATGAGCAAATCAGAGGTAGGAAAATGCAATGGAGCTCATTCCTGTTTGTATTAACAGACCACATGCCRCTGAAATTCACTGAAGTTAGGGGCCTTCAACATGCACATGAAGATCTTTCCTATCTTGCTTGAAAGGCACAGGTTATCCTACTGAAACTGTCAGTCACCAGTGAAGCTGCAGTGTTTATATCCCTGCTTTCAGATATGCAGACGTATAGATAAGAAGCTGAACAGCAAAAAGATTAAATACTGCAGGGGAAAAGTACATGCAAAATCCATCCTAGACTTCTTTTGCTCAGTATGTTGCATAGTTTTGAATAAAGATTTAGGTCACTCCTGCTAGATGGTTTGCAGTGAGCATCTAAGCCAGACTGCCGCAATAATGTGCAAATCCAGAGCTAGTTATATCAAGTGCATGCAGCAATGTGCAGACTTCAATAAACACAATACAGATTTTGCTCCATCTCCCAAGGTGTCCCTCTGCAAAGGATTAAGTCCTTTATAAGAAAATGAGAGCAAATTTTATATATGGGTCAATGTGACTAGCCTAACCCTTCAACCTGACCTCAGTGTCATCTAATGCACTCTCTAGCCCTCTTAGCTACGGCCAAGGAGAGCAGTAGAGATTAGATGCGAATGGGGTGTGATATTTAGGAGGGAGTTTGTGTACTGCTCTTGCCATGGATGCTGAACTCTTCCTTTGCAGCACAGAGATTAAGGGCCACTAACTGCTTCCAAAAGGGGAGAAATGGAATGAGGAAAACAGTCATTTGGAACAGGGCCTCAGTTCTGGTTGCTGTTCTGGCTACACAAAAATGCTTATTCACAAAGCCAACAGCCCATGGCACATTCACATACCAAATAGCCTTTTGGATCCCACAATACAAGTGAAAAGACAGCATATGAGTACATTTAGCTAACACTGCTGCCAACATCAAATTATATCTCCTCTCCCTCATCCATGCATGAAAGTTAAGAATTATCAACTATGAGTGCAATACAAAAAGCACACCAACATAACAGACTACCTTCATTCATTTTGCATAAATTTATTATTCTTTACTCTTGTTTATGAATTGGCCCAGTGTGAGCAGCTAYTAGAGTTAACTGATAAGCATAATGGAGTCTGCTTGAAAATACTGTCATGTCTCTTTAGAAGCTGACAGCTGAACTGTTAAGCTAAGAGGTCAGGGTTGATTGGCTTGAGCCTCAGCTGTATATGGCCTTGGGAAACACGCCAAGAGCTTTTCCAGCTCAGGAYTGTGAGAAGCTAATCTGCGGGTAAACCCTAAGTACAAGGGGCAGGCAATCTCAGCTGTGTAGGTGAAGAATGATWTAGTAGCCTCCACATTGGAATCCAAAAGTGTCAGCAGCTATTAGTCTTGATCATTCCTAGCTCACCGCACTAGTAAAATATAGATAATCATTGTGCAAGGTTCTTCTTGAAATGCGACAGTGTCTATTGCCTTTGGGACACTTCCAAATGCAGTTGTATAAATAGAATCATACTGGACTTGCTATGTGGCAAGGAAATTATTTCTGCTTAACACTTTCTTGGGTTGGTCCAGAGAAAGATTACATGCATAGGCTGGATTGCCCTCTTGATATTGCTGAGAAACTTGATTTTGCTTTTCCTACATCTTCCTTTCTTTCCATATCACCTGCTGAACATGCATGCACAAACATACACACATAAACACACAGAAAAGTGTGATTTTTTTCCAAGAAGATCTGAATTTTGAGTGAAAATTTGTAAACAAAAAAAAATTTCAATGTGAAACAGTTGCATGCAATACTGTTAGAGATACAGCGCATGTGACTTGTCAGGGCCAACCATATTATTTTCCATTCTTACCTCCATCTCTCATTTCATAACAGTTTCCTGTCTTGGAGCTGTCAGGTGTTGCATCACGAGAGCATTGGTTACGTAGCACATGATAAAGAACCTGTCTGACCTGGAAGCTGGTCTATAAAGGAGAAAGGGGTCACAAAGCACATAACCTAAAGCATCCAAGACATAATTCAAAATTATAGCCAAATGGCTACAGTTGGTCTTGAAGTGTAAGGCTGCAATGAGCAAACAACCAACTCTGCAGACAGCCTACTTATTTCCAAGTTTAATTTTAATAACATTTTTGTCTCAAGTAATTCCACCAATAAAGTAAAGACTCATCAGTGCTAGCCTAGAAGTCCTCTGGTGCTCCATCTCTCTTACACTGCAAAGGGCAGGCACAAGCTGGTAATAAAAACCGTCAGGTCACAGAGAATCATCTCTGCTCTATGACCTCTTTGACAAGGAGAATGTTGTCAGAGAGAGCTGAAATTCACCTACACCCACCAGGGACCTGCATCCAGGGCTTCCAAGCTGGGAAACTGGCCTGTCTGTGTGTGTTCAGCTCTTTGCTGCCAGTGTGTGCTCCCACCTCAGCACCTCCAGCACCAATGCTGAAAATTTATTTGCCTCTTTTTTCAGTCTAATGTAATTTACATTGTCTGAACTAAAATAAAGAGAAAAGTATCTCAGTTCTGGATAGACCCAACTTTTTTATTCAAAATCTGCCAAAAAATATATTGATCCTTGAGAAAAGAGTGACTTTGGCTAGTTTTCTCATTTAAAACAACTTGTTTGGRTACTCAAGCTTAACAGTATTGTGCTAAAGTTAGATATCCGCTTATTCTCAGAGAGACAGATGGTCTTGGATATTCCAGACTCTCACTGACAGTTTCTTGTTGTACCCCAAAATCACTAGGATCACCTTGAAACAGCTCAAGACTGTCAACACCACTGCTGTTTTAGACAGCGCAGCCGTCACCTCTCTCTTTTTCATCAGTAGCCTGTGGAGAGTCCAAATGCGTTGATTTGCTTGTTACGTCGTCTCTCTGGAGATCAGCCACACACTGTGTAGACCTCAGAAAAGCCCCATCCCTCCCTGCTGGGGCACAGCGAGCACCAGGAGAGGCAGGGTGGGTGCACGGCAGCRAGATTGCCAAGGAAAGCTGTGATGCACCCACGAGCCTGAAAYGATACGTTTAAGCCACAGAGAAGATCTAATAACATTGGATAAAGACAAAACGTTCAGCTGGGATAGTGAGTCGCAGCAGGTGAAAGATGAGAAACTTTCATACTGAATTATCAAGTCTTCGCTGTATTTAAAAATAGATTTTCCATGTCCTTCTGCTGTCTCTGCTGCATGCCTCAGTCGAGCCCTATGCACACAAACTGATGGTGTAAATTAATGAAACTGTAGCAGCACCTGGTGCAAGGTGGATCACAGAGGAAGGCTTTTGGCAAACATTCATTTAAATGTCTCACTTTTCTCAGAGAAAAATTGTCATTCCTGGCATTGTTACTGCAAGGTTTGATCAGTCATAGCCAAGAGTAAACAAAAGTCAGTTTTTGGCAAGCCTTGCTCTAAAGTCAAGTTTTCCTGACTGGGAGAATGTATTAGTGGTAACTGTCCATTTACCTTTGAAAACAGCATTTGAAGAAGAGAAATGGGATGATCACAAACCAGGTTGAAAAATACAGACAGGGCAGAGGATCATTTARCAATAACCCTGAAGCCACAGCCACATTCAACTAAAGGTGCTACCCCAACATTTGCTTTCTGTCCTCAAGGCACAGTCCTGAGCCTAGGCTGGTATCATCCCACATACAACTCCCCCAGACTGCCCTGAGTTGCACACATGCAAATTTGTGTGAGGGTTTCCCTTTCCAGTGGGCGTTCCTTGCAGGGGCCTGGAGAGGAAGGAGACAGGAGAGGAAGATTGGCAGTGAGGACACACATATCCTCTGAGCCCATGAAGCTCACACACGAGCAGATCCTAGGAGTAGCCTAACGCTGAGTCCACAGGTGTGGGCATCGCAGTGTGTTGTGCTCCTTGCGCTGGCTGAAGACTTCCTAGCAGGTAATGGCTCTGGTCTGAAGACTTCCCTAGCAGGTGACGGCTCTGCAGCATCAATCCGGACACGCGCCTGTCCAGAAACTCACCGTGCTGAGCAGCGGGCCCAGCTGGGACAGCTTTGCTGCTCATCAGTGCTCGTGTGGATGCCGCGGGACCACAGGTCCTTACAGACCTCGGCAGGGCCCCGGTGCCTGCAGCTGCCCCTGGAATCTCCTCGGCACTGTCCAAGCTTAGCTCAGCCAAAAATAGGATGCTGGGAACCCCTGTCTGAAATCTAGCTTCAGAAAAGGCAGTTATGCAGCAACTCCAGCTGTGAGACAGAGCTTCTCYGTGACAGTGATGTTCATAGCACTAGCTGTGTGATTAACTCAGGCCATAAAGGTTACAGGAACAGCTAGAGTCTTCTCATCCTTGTGGATACATGTTAATAAATCTGAGGAATTTCCACTCTTATGCTGCAGTTTTGTTTTATTTAGTTTTGTTTTTAAGTACAAATAAAAATGCAATACAAGTAAAAATGCCAGACTCATATGACCCAACCAAGAGCAGTCATGAGCAGGTCTTTCAGTGAGCAGTAATGAGACCAGAAGAAGAGTAAGAAACACTACAAAGCTGGGTTTCCCATGTTCTTTTTTTATTTAAGTGAAACAAGAGCAAGTGAAAACAAAGGTTTCACATTTCTTTCTGTTAGGCAGGTTTGTGCCTTGTATGCCGATTAATAAAGACATTTCCATTGCATATTACAGTTTTATACCCTTGAAAACATAACATGCATTGTCAAACAAACAGACATTGTGGGCAGAGAGGCTGCAACTTTCCCAGTAACTGCTGGAGGAGACAACTACATGTAACAGAGTCTAACGATCTTGCATTTTATACTTTACAGCTGGATCACTGCAGAATAAAATAATTACACCGTCATAGACCCATTACAAACATCAGCACAGGCAACAGAAATGCAAGAGTAAAAAAAATTCATGTCATCCTCAATTGCCTGAGAGCTACTCAGCGGTGTGCTGAGGATGGTAGTTGTCTGCAGAGACAGACTTAAACCAGCTCCGAGAGTTTCTGATTGTCTTTCACTCCAGGTAAGACTTCACAAAGAGCCACATGAGTAGCACCGTAAGCAGGACGATCATGAAGTTCAGGAAGAGTTCCCGTGTGGATCGCTCCATTTTGGGGGAATAAGCGGGGCAGAGCTGAGGGCAGCAGGTGAAGCAAAGGGACGACTTGGGGGACTTCTCTGGGGGTGTCCTTGAGCTCAGCCTTCGGGTCACAAGCCCTTTTAAGGAAAAAGAAAAATATGTGAAGAACAGATCGACGAAGGGGAAAGTTCAGCAGAGCTATTTTTACAGGCATACATAAATGTTATTTTTGTTGCTAAAACTTAGTAGGCACTGGGATAGTAAAAGCAAAGGCTATCTCCAGCAGCTTATCACCTCCTTTGATTTCCAGCCCCCTGACAAGTAGCTGTCTCAGTGTCACCCCAAAATACATCTTGTAGGGTGAGCAGTCCTTGGAAATTATCTCTGCTTTGCACAAGCTTTTCAAAATACAGTATGCCCAGATCCCATTTATTGCTTTGAACTGATACACCTCACACAGGTATTGCTGCTCAGAGTTCCTAAAACTCCCATATTGGTTTGTGTATTCTCATTTTCAAAGTGAAGTAGGTGGAAACTGTTCACTGTTAAAAAAAAATACAATTTTCATCTCATTTTCCTACCTTTTCTCGAGTATTTTTGCTATTTACAAAATATTGTGCTGAAATACTACAGTCTAGAAGACTTCAACTTTCAGTCTCCCTTAAAAAGCTTTTGAGAGAAAACAGTGAACTGATGATATTGCCCAAAATCTAGGAGACTCAGTTAAGTTACTACTAGGAGAACACAAGGTGCAGCATAATCATTTCTAAAAAGCATCATAAATGTCATGAGTTAATCCTCCAAATTAAATAGACTTTTCTCAACTATCTTCTGACTTTCTTGAAGTTTCAAGCTACTATAATTCAATTACTTCAGAAATGCCATTCAAGTTAAACTCAGAAAGTTTTCTGTTTGCTATTGTTACTGACTATTTATTTTATTACAAGTTTAGACTTTGGAATATTCTTGGGATTCAGGCAGAGGATACTTTATCATGGATAATATGCTACTAATCCCATCTGAACACTGTGTAAATAAAATTAAAACCTTTAAACCCATGAAGAATAAGTTCCAGATAAAAACAGAGTTTCAACTACACAAGCTAAATCTTAAAGGAGATGTTAGATTAGCATGTAACATCTATGGTGAAAACAGAGAAGCCTTGGGACTGTACCAGACTGAAGACAGAGAGTTTAAATAGAAACTGCTTTAGTCTGCACATTAAATATTAAAAGGCTGGTACTTACACTTAACAAAATTCCTGCATTCCCATGCTGTTTTGTCAGCCTCCTATTTCCATGGGCAAGAGAAAATCTGACCTAATAAGTAAGACAAGGTTTTTACCTTAGGAAGGTAAACAGAGCACGGTGGTCCTGCCTCCAGGGCTGGGGGGCAATGCAGATACTATTTCYTTCTCGGCCTCTGGCTCTGTCCCACACGGTCTGGATGCCCCGACCCGGTGTGGGAACTAAAGTAGTCTGAGGGAGGAGAGCAACAAGTGCGTTGGCACCCGAGATGCTGACATCACACCCCCAAATATTTTAAAAGGCCGAATGTGGACTGCAGGATTCACCTAAGGCTGTTTATGCATGGGGGACCGAGGGTTTATCTACTTACTGTAATTTTATTTCTTCTTATGGTGAGCTCTACTAAGGGCAGGGTTAKGTACAGCCCTAGGGAGTCACTGGCGTTTTGCAGGGAATTTCTTTTGGCCAGATTGCATTTTCATGCCCTAATTTAACTTCCTTGTTAATGTGGGCCAAAGAAAAGAGAAGGAAAGGAGCAACAAAAGGAAAGGAAAGAAGGGCCAGGCAAAACAGCGTGTGCAGCTCCCAGGATCCCTGAAGACAAGTCCCCACGGCGGGGCCCGGCTGCCGCGCTCGCGCCGCGAGAGCGGCCCAGCTGTTGCTGTCCTGCAGCCTTCCTGCAGCCTCCGCAGCTTCTCATGTTCATAGACATTTCACAAACAGGAGCAAAACCTTTATTTTGTTGTTTGCATTTATACACAGATGAATGCAACACAGAAACATCCGCAAGATAGAGAAGTTTGGGGCTAGGGATTTTGGAAAACAGTCTATTGCCTTAAAGAGCCAATGCGCTTACTCACCTCCCTTCTCCTTCATTTATTTTCAGTGTTCCAGGTATTAATGCTCCAAATGCCTGAGCAGAGAAATATTTCTGCCACCCTGCAGCATTTCTTCCCAGAAAGCACACGGCTCTGAGGCCCAGATAACTATAATCCCCACATAATCTTATCTTTGCCCAAGGCACCACTGAAACTCATTATGCACAAGAACTAAAGGAATTTAAAAGGTTTTTTTCCCCCCCATTTAAATAAATACATATGAAAGAATGTTAGCAGAGCAGGCTAGACTGAAGCAGGACCAGATGCTGCCAGCCCTGTGCTGCAGGGACTCAGCTCCCAGGTCATCCTCTTGGTTGGGGGCTCATAGTCTACACTTCAAAGGAATGACTTGTGTATTTCCATTGAAGTTATAGCAGCCACTTCTGAAATACAAAGCACATGAACATGGGAATCTTGATGAGGTTTAAGTGCATAAAGCTCCCTGCAGAACTGGCCTTTATTCTCCCAGGCAAACACCACCTGATACATAGTATGCAAATTATTTACTGAGTCTGCTGCCTTTTGTATATTCACATTCAGGTGTACTGTGATGTGGTGTAGTTCACAATACCCGAGCTTGCTGCCCAAGTCCACCTCCATGAGGATCSCAGCATCAGCCTTCCCTTTGCACCAGCACGGAGACCCAGGTAACCATGCCACGCGAGGGAGCCTGCATGGCTGGAAACCAACCCAATGGAAAACAAAACAAAAAAACAGCTGTGTGGGTTCCCGAGGGGGTGGAGGGAAGGGTTGTCTGGTTTTGCTGGATGACCTCCATAAATAGCCTCCCCACACAGTCATTAGATGTAGGAGGGGACCTCTAATCTCCACTTTCATTGGCTTCACTGCCTTGCAGCTGCGCTCTTTGATGCGCAAGCAGCAAGTTCACAAACGCCAACAGGCTGATTAGGAGTCCTCTACTGAAGAGTACAGAGGAAAGAGCCAAGGTTTGACCTCCAGCCTATTCAGGGATTTAGATGCCTAAGCAGGTTGCAGGGTCCTGCAGCCATGCAGGCTGTGACAGGCTGAGGCATCACAGCCCCTTCTCATACAGAGACCTGAGGTGTGAAACTCAGATTCAGACACTTGCCCTCATCCTGAGAGAAGCTGGATGTGTATCTAACAGGGACCTGACCTTTGCCCTTCCCTGCCACATGCTCTGGGCAGAAATGTCTTGATTTCTCAGGCAATGGCTATTTCATTTTACCTCGAATCACGTAAATAGCCACCAGGATAAAGGTAAAACATTTGAGCATCATGATCTTTATTAAATGTTGCACCTGAGTGCCCAAATGCTCCCTATGAGGCTATGAGGCTTGGAAATTGGGGGCTTTTTTTACTTTCTGCCAACAGAAAAGGAAACAAAACAAAATAAAACACAACCAAGATACAGACTGGCAGACAAACAGAAATGTTTTTCTTTAACTGGAACACCTCAGCCCTGGCCACCAGACAGGTATTTGTGCTTCCACCTTGACAGGGAGCCCTTCCTGTCTCTTGCAGCACACCTCTGCTGCCTGGACCTCACCCATGACAGCTAGAAAACTTCCCTTCTTCAAGGTGCTCCTGAAATAGAATGATAAATGTCATCAACCGAGATATGTAATAAACACCCGATCGCCTAGGTATCCTTCCTTTGCCTCTGCAGGCTCAGACCCTTCTGTGATTAGTGGCACTGAGGATCTTACAGGAGATCACAGAAGAGTATGTAAGATCCTGAGTGGACCAGATCAAAGGTCCGTCTAACCTAAGTTACTGGTTGATAGAGAAATTTGGAGAAAGCTTATAGAAGTAGAGCAAATATAACATGATTCCTCCCTGCATATTCTCAAACTTCTGGGATTCAGCCTATTGGAACGTGTAGTTTGGGACTACAGATGATGCTGGTCATACGCCTCCCTCATTGCTCAGGCTGTCGRGCTCCCTCTTAAAATTAAATATAATGGTCTATTTCTGCAGCTCTAGTAACTTGTGCTGTGAACAGTTRCATACCAGGGGAACCGCCCATAGATGGGCTTCTCTACACAGCACGCTACGTATTTTTAGCCCTAAAAAAATAAAATGGCAAATTCAAATATTCTACGTAGCAGAGAACTTGGTCAAGAAATCTGAAGGCAGCCTTTTTTTTGCCAGAACTGAGAGCCAGCTAGCTTAGCTAGGTTGACAGAGCTAGTCCACGGTAACTTTAGAAGAGCCAGACTACTATGTTACAGTTATTTGTGATGCCATCTGACAAGATGTTCCCATATATATATACATGAAGTCTCTGGAAAAAAAGACATTACACTAAACAGGAGCTAGGAATAAACATGTCTGAGCTGTGGAAAGTGCCTAGACTTTACCTGGAAATCCAGTCCATGTTGACTTTCATATATTAGAGACTGCAATTGCTGGAGGCTGCAACTTCTGGACCCTCCCAACAAACTGTACACTGGCTGTTTACGAACAGAGTCCAAACACCGTAAAGGCAAGGTCTTTAAAAGGAAGATTTATTTAAGTGATTTCATACTGGTYTAGCAAAGATGGAAGAAGAGAAAGAAGAAAATAAACTGAACAGTTTTATTTTAAATGTTAGCCCAGAGGCTTAAATTCTGTGCTCAATACTTCTCTTGATGGCACTTCAATTTTTCTTTCTTTTTTGACAGATCTGGATGTTCTCAGATTTCACCTGGCCTGTGCCAAATCTCCCTCCCCATGCCTCACATACTCAAACTTAAGGCTCTAGTCTATATTTAAAGTTCCTCTGACTACTCAAGTTCTTCCTATCAAGCAGCATACAATCTTTCAAAGCCCTTTTTACATAATAAGAGTGAAATGTGTACATTCTTGCTTTCCTCACTACCTTTCTCGTCAAGTGCAGATTTTTTTTTAATTCATTAATAATTGACTCATTTTTAAATTGGCA